GAATATTAAATTAAGATCTATATATAAAATACTAATCTACTTTTAAAATATTATAGAAAAAATAAAGACTTAGATTAATTTATTTGCAATCTAAACCAATTGAAGTAGCTAAGGTTTATCTAGATTTGGATATTAGTAATAATATAAAAAAGATTAGTTTGGTATTTAATCTAATATATGTATTAAGAATTTATCTTAAAGCTAATAGTAGTAAAAAGAAAAGATTGATGTAGATGTAAAGTAAGATTAGAAGATAGATTATCAATAAAAGAATAAGTTGTTAATCTTGAGATATAATAAAAAATCTATATTTTATAATAAACTTTTTAATTGAGATGAAGTAAAAATTTATATTAGTATTGTAACTATTTTTTTAGTTGATAAGTTTGAGACAAAAGTGATAATTTTATTTGGTATTAAGCTTAATAAAGTTGAAAAAACTGAAGTTATATTTGGTATCCTATATATAATCATATAATTTAGTTGTTTGATTTGATAGTGTAAGTTGATTATAATATCAGAAGTAGTGTTAAATGTAGTTGTACTAAAAATATATTATAGTAAATCATCTATAAGGTTGTATAGTAACAAGTTAGATAGACAAGTTATCTAATGAAAATAAAAACTAGTATGATGATATTGATAGCAAGTAGGTGGGTATGAAAGATAATATTTGTATAAGATATACTATATAAAGTAGGAAGTTCATCTAATAAGTTTTAATTTTGAAGAACTTAAAGCAGAAGATTAAAATTATATAAAAAATTTGAAATTGTTTGATTGTTGTTAATATATAATCAGATAGCTTGTCAGTTAATTTGGTTAAAGATCTTGTTCTATTTTAATACATAAATCTGAACATAATATATTATACAAATACAATAGTGTCAATATTAGTTGGTATAAACTCAAGATAAGATCTTGTGTTTATATAGATCTAGAAAACCAGAAAAAGGGAGGTTTGTTTAGCAAAATCCAAGTAAAGATGTAGCACAGACTTTTGATAGTAGTTACTAAAATAGGCTTTATCCAAAGCTAGAGAACTAAATATGATAAAAGCATCCAGCAAGTTGCTCTACCAACCAGACCACCGGCTTGAGCATCAACTAAAGGAAAAGGATCAGCAGATACAACAGAACCGGTATTTCTTTTGAGCTATTTAGATTAGTAGTCAGGGAAGACTGGCTAAAAAGTATTGAAAGAAAAGATACCAGATTGTCTTAAAGAGAAAGTACTGAGTTTGAGTGAACTTTACAAAGGCTAGAAAGTTTGGTGGTGTAGCCTGCTCATAAAGATTTAGAATCTATTTAGTGAACTTATCTGTAAAAGGAATTGGCAGTGTGGTCTGCTTATAAAAGTATAAAACCTATCCGGCAAGACTTATCCGAAAAAAACTAGGTAATACAATAATAGTGAGTATCAGACTGCTCTAGCAGATAATAACCTTAAGGACGAATCAGTTAACCAAGCTAATAATCCTATAAGTAATTCGCGAATAATCTTAAAACTTGAACTAACTAATGTATCACAGGTTCTGGGTAAAGTTAGATAGATTGGCATAGGAAACTCAGATCAGAGAGTTTAATTGGGTAACCCAAATAATAGGTAGGTTATAGGTATGACATCTAGTATAGAACCTAGTAATAGGCAGACTACTTAAATTAGACACTCAAAAGGTGCAGGTATGGCTAGAATATATTCTTGTCAGAATGTATTTGTCTGGGGCCTCCTTGAAAAAAAACCACATAATTCTATAATCTAATAAACCTTGACTACAAAAAAAAAAAACAAATACTATGATAAGTAGATAGCTCTAAGAAGAAATTTTCAAAGGTTAAAGTATAAGCTGAATTGTAGATATTATGAAAAATTGTACAAAATTTTGTAAAATCAAATATATATTTACTTATAGTTTTGTAATAACATTTTATTTTTTCAAAGCAAAAATAACAATTTATTCAGATGTAAATAAAAAGTCAAACTTCCATAAATAAGCTTTTATCTATACATAGTATAGATAGATTATCAGACCTACTTATGCAATGAACTAAAATAACAATTCTATTAATAGGTTATTTAATAGTCGAACATCGAATAACGATAGCAACCCAATTTTTTTTTACACTAATTTAATTAACTTTCTAATTACACACTAAGCGAGTTTATTAGTCAATTTTTAAGTCAAATAACTGCGCATGTCTCTTGTAAATCTAGAATCCTGTCACTTTCATAATTGGTCTCCCTTTTTCTTAAACTTTTTTTTTAAAGTACGTATGCAGAACATCAGTATGGCCTAATTGCTTGTTCGAGCAAGAAACGTATTGCGATCCGGTTTGCAAGTGGTTTTTTCTCGATTTTAAAAATATAAACTTAGATTATGAAATTATAAATAAAATCGAGGGTAAGTGCATTTGTTTATCGTTAAGTATAAATGCTGTACAATAAAAACAAGTTTATTCTGGTTAGTTATCGTATGTTTGTCAAATAGCCATGCATTATTTCTATAATAGTAATTATAGTATTTATACAACATACTATAAGAAATCAATTGTAACTTTGGTCCTTGAAACTTATAAATAAAACGTCCGCAAGAGTAAAGATTACTCTGTTTTTAGGTGAAGTATTGATATCAGCAACTTGAAACCGAACAGATAATATTAAAAAAAAAAAAAAAGTTGAACGAAACTGAACAAGAAAAAAAAGAAAATAATAAAAAAAAACTTGATATCGTTTTCTATTTCCATTATACATATAATTTCCACAAAGAATGCTAAGAAATAAATTCTGAAATAACATAATCATGTGAACAGTTTTACAAATGGGCTTGGTGCTGCAAAAAGGGAGTAAATTGACAAATTTTTAAAAATTAATTTTTTTACATAAATTAATTTAGAATATTATCAAGATTATTTTTCACTTAAGATACAAAAGTAGTTGTATTAATAAAATTATTCAATATAACTCTTTAAAATTTGTAATTTCTTATAATTTATCATAAAATTTGTAATATAAAAATTGATTTTCTGAAGATCTTTTTTTTTGTCAATTTACCCCCTTTTTGCAGCACCAAGCCCAAATGTTCTTGGTATTAAAAAAAAAAGCAAATGACCTTGGAATTGCCAAGCCAGGCGATTGTTGGCCGGAAAAGAAAGCACAAACTGCCGTGTTACCGCCACATATCCACAAAAATCAGAAGGATAAGTTCTCAACCTTCTTTATCGGGAGTGTTATATATATATTTAGATTACACGTGAAGAAAATTGTCGCGTTTCTAAGTAAATAAATATGTATTTTGGAGTATTCCGGACATCAATCCAGACGCGAGCTTTTTCGGTACATTATACATTTTAGGATCATCCAAGAGGCTCGACGTTCCGACTCAGTGTAATTAAGTAGTATATATTTATATTCAATAAATGCAATATAAACAGATCAGGCTAATTTTTGCATTAAATAATCCAATATAGGAAACTGTGAACTTGTTTTTAGAGTTGTATGAAATCTACCTTTTGATCTTGCCTTTTAAAAACTATTTAAAGCATTACTCTTTCTACTTTCTGTCCGTCTACGTGAAAGGATGAAAAAAAAAACTTTGTCATCCAATGCAATTCTCTCTTGTATCTCTCGTGTTGTCATTCCAAATCGGGAGCCTGCTTATTACTTTGTGTTCCCCGTTTTTTTTTCTCTTATATAATGACATTTAATTTTCTTCTCGTTTTCTCTTGTCCTCTGTTTCTTCTTTCTCTTATTCTTGGCCTGTCTCTGTATCCTTCAACTTAGATATAAGAATCTTCAACGAAATGACTGACAAATATATTAAACTCGAGAAAATTGGGGAAGGTTAGACTTGAAATGGAGCAAACTCATTCCTTAATATTCTCCCCATGTGAACTGAATAAACTATAAGACCATAATATTCAAGTTTCAACGTGTCTATGTAGTAAAAAAAAATTTTTCTTCTTGACATTCGTTTCCTCATTACTTTAAGGGACATACGGCGTTGTCTATAAGGCGAAAGAACGAAAAACGAGTCGCGTCGTTGCTATGAAAAAAATGAGGTTAGAATCTTTTACCGGTAGGGTATCTTATACAACCATTAGAGAAATATCTATATTGAAAGATGCTAGTCATAAGAATATTGTAAGGTATGCTATCTCTGTATTCATGTTCGAATTTTCTTTTACAAAACATGTCACATTCATATATATCATCTTATGCAATTTATATACTATCTAATGAGATGTTGATTTACCTTCTAATCCTTTTTAAATTCATCATTCGAGATTTATATTAAAAGCTATAGATCAATGTCTGATTTATTTCTAATTTTTATAATCATTAGGCTTCTGGATACAATTCTTCAGGAAAAGAATCTATATCTTGTGTTTGAATATTGTGATATGGATTTGAGGAAATACCTTGATGGTGCACCATTCGGATTACCGGTAGATATAATTAAGGTATAATCATCTCGATATGTGACCTCAATTTTCTTCTTTATTTCGTATTCTTTTTTTGATTTACTGTATTTAATTTTCAGAAATTTACATATCAACTTTTGTGTGGAATCAAATATTGCCATTCACGTAGAATTCTTCATCGAGATCTGAAACCTCAAAATCTTCTTATTGGTTTAGACGGTAATTTGAAATTAGCTGATTTTGGTTTAGCGAGAGATTTTTCTAATTCGATAGGTGTTCTTACTCATGAGGTATAATCTTTACACTTTATCCAATGCGATATTAATTAGTATAACTTGATTACTATCAAATGTTTTTCAATTGTCTGATTAGGTCGTCACGTTATGGTATAGACCTCCTGAACTTCTTCTTGGTGCTCGATGTTATTCTACAGGGGTCGATATGTGGAGTGTTGGCTGTATTTTTGCCGAGATGATGTCATCGTACGCTTTATTTAGAGGTATTCTTTGACGGTCACGTGAACGTTTCTCATATTCCTAGATTAATATAAACTTTAAGGTTTGGTGTCTCAAAGATCATATGTATTTTATTGAATATTTTTTGAAAGGCGATAGCGAAATTGATCAGCTATTCAAGATCTTTGGGTTTGTGGCGTTTTGTCATTTTTTTCTTTACTTTGTTCTTTGCATAATCGCTCGCATCACGTGATTTATATTAAAATATTACTAAACAATAGCATCCTCGGGACTCCAGATGAACACTTATGGCCTGGAGTACATCAATTACCTAATTTCAAAATTATCTTCCCTACTTGGAGACGCTATCCTTTAGATCAAATCTTTCCTTGGATGTGTTATGATGCAATTAATTTATTAGAGGTAATTTAGCTTTTTCAATTCCGTATTTATAAATAGCCTATGTCAATAACTTTCGTATCTCTTTTAGAATCTCTTGATTTACGTACCAACTCAGCGAATTGCAGCTAAAACGGCCCTTCGCCACACATACTTTGATGATATAAACTTTTCTCGTTCATGAATGAGTTGTATAATACCGCAAAAAACTAGATAATAAAATTATGTCATTATAGTGCCGCAGCATTAGAGCTAAAGCCAGCTAATCAAATCACGATTTTTTTTTATTAGAAGAATTGTAAATTTTTTTTCTTTTTTTTATTTAAGATGTTTTATTTTTCGTTTTTGCAAATGTTTTAAACATTTTCATTGATAACAAATCAAAATTTTCATTGAAAAACCTCGGATGTCTTCATTGAAAAACATCAAATAGTCTCATCAAAGAATCTTTCGTCGGAAAATGTGATACTTCTTGATGAAGCTTTACGCTTTTCGACGAAAGAATCTATAAAAACTGACGAATAAATCCATGAATTCATACACAATCAAAATCCAGAAAAGAATGCATGAACTCGACAAAGGATCCTATTGACACTCGACGAAAGAATGATGAATGCACTGAAACTTATAAGAATACACCGAAACTCAATGAAATAACCTACTGAAACTCGACGGAAGAAAGCATTGAAACTAAAGCACCCAAATCCGGTGAAGCAACTTGACGAAAGAAAGACGAAAATGATGAAAACGATAATAACGCTTAGAAAAAAAATCCTCTCCTTTCCCTGAAAAAAATTTATAACCACCAATACTGAACTTTAGGATTGTTGACGATCTTATGTGAATATATTGGGGTTTTTTTCCTTTAAAATAATAATAATAATATATAATAGTAATAATTTGGCCGAAATTAAGCTGTTGAGTACTTATCCAGGGTGACCATCAATTATTCTCAATATATAATTGATTAATCATTATTAATATTATACTATTATGTGACGCATGATCTTGATGGCCCCTAAGCGTACCAGTAGATATGTTAGAAGAAAACTCAATTTATAAATAATTTGATATCTATAATAATTATACATTTATTAATCGATTTTCGAATATTTTGGATCACGAGAGAGAGTGTGTCAATCGTTTCATTTGACCATTATAAAATACGTAATAGTAAATATTCCATTATAAGAAATTTATGGGGTATCAAATGAACCTGTAAACCCTGGTGGGAACTTTCTTTGTTGGTGTGGAGTGTGTGGAGTGCATTAAAACGCAATTATGCATGTAAACAGATATAACCAGAATAACCGGTATTTGGGTGGTATTGTTTATCTGAAGGTTTGGTACTATTAGTGCTACAACTTTGACACGTAAAAGGAATTTTGATAATCACGTTACCTAATGATGATCGTAACTTATTTTTTTTTATAACGATAAGGAAACTAAACTTGGCGTAGTAAGTAAACTAAAACTTTTAGGAATTTTAAATAAAATTTTAAGTCGTATTTAGTACTTTTTATCAAAAAAATGAAAAATAAAAAACTTTTTATTATGTCGACGCATTTTTAAACCCTATAATAAATAATAGTTGGTTTTAAAATATGTCATTCTCCGTATCTAAAAGTATATAGGATTAAATTTTCATAGAGCACTTCAAGAATTTTTAAGTTTAATTAAGAATTTTGTCAAATGTCATAGAAAGTACCCGGGTCTCTTACTATCTAAACCGGGTTTTCTTGATTTATACCCCGGGTATACTGTATAGCGGAGGGTATACTTAATTCTGGTAAAGACCCCCAAGCTTTTTATTTATATATGTATCGAATATGAAATCTTGTTTAAATTCCCCAAAGTTTGATCTTCAAAGTTTATAACAGTCAACCCCCAAAGTTTATAATAGTCAATTCCCAAAGTTTTTAATAGTTAAAATTTATTTTAAATATGAAACAAATAGGATATACATCTATAACAAGGCTTCAAATAAAAAAACGTCAATGGACAGCATGTGAAAAACTTTATATTCTTACATATCTTAATAGGTAGCAGTAGGGATTTAAGTTGGTTTGTTCAATTCTATTTATTAATCAGTTTTTTTACAATTAATATACAAGCTGAGTTCAACTCTTTCCGATGATCCTCTGGTCAACAACAAAAAAACTGAACTACAGCAAAACATATAGAAAAATGACAAAGTGGATACTAAAACTTGGTCCTATAAGTAGAAGCAGCTTGTTGTCGATGAAGTCTAAGCTGTCTAGGCGTGAAATACTGAGGAGTGGGCACCCAAAAGAATGGATGGTTTTTTTTGGGGTCAAGTTTTCTTTCTGGCAGATTTCCCAAAGTATTCGGCATCCAACCTAGAAGGTTTATTCTGAGAAATGGAGAAGCTGGACTATACAGCTGTAAAACTTACAAGAAGAACCTCACATATTTTCATTGGCCCACCACTTTTTTTTAAGAAAATTTTTGTAAAAAGTAGGCATTTTAGCTTACCTCCTCCAAATAATCAACATTACGTATACCAAGTAAGTCGGCATTGTTTATCTCCCAAATCAGAACGTAACAACAAACATGTGTATACACATGTCTCGAATGCAATAGATATCTGTACAAATGATGTTTCGAGACTCTGTTCTGACCTCTTTACTTTAAGCCGGTCAATGAAGTTTTTCCTATTGGGTTTTTACTTTCATATATTAGTTTAGAGAAAAATAGAAGTAGAGATTAATTTGTCTAGTCAGTATGTAATTTTTCAAAGCCACCCACAGGCTGATAACCATGGCATTAAAATTAGCAAATTTCTGTTTTGTTTTTGTTTTTTTTCGATATTCCTTTACTCCTTTTTTTTCATATTCTGTATTCTTTTACCATATTTCCCTATACCTTTGTGTTTTTTTTTAGTTTGTTTGTTCTATTTTCTGATTTTGCTTCTTGATAAGCGGGTAGCCACCAACTGATAAACAATAAGAAAAAAAGTTTTTAGTGAGTTAAGGATCCTGAGTGAGGCTAAGAGCTACTGAAGCAGGTCACATCTGGTGTATAAAATCATGTGGGTGGGTTCTTCATTTGGTTGAATCTACTTTAGTTAGAGATAAATTACTTATAATTTTGAATAACTTAATCTCAAATAAACAAAGGCAGGATAGCCGAATTAGAAAAAAAAATATATACAAGCTGAGTTCCAGATACTACTGTTTATAGTACTGCTAATAAATTTGTTTTTTTTCTTCAGCAATCCTGTTTACTTTATTATAGAAACAGACTTTCATTCCTACATGGCATAAGAAATCTAAATCTATAAGTATTCCAACCAAAATATAAACTCACCTATAACATATTTCACAGATGCTATAATATCCACTTGCAGTCAAAGCAAACTATTAAACTACTGTGTTTTGCCCAGATGCAACCTGCTTAGCGAACGATTGATCTCCTCCAAAGATCCAGAATTTACTCTAAACTTATTTCTCCTAGATTTCTCAAATAGCTGTTACATCATCCCATCAAGATTTTTGTACTACAATAGAATGCTGCCAAACTGATGACACTTCTTTGTAGAGAAGAAAAAAAGAAAAAAAAGGATAATAGAAAACTAAAAAAAAGTATAAAAAATAAAACTAATACATTAAAGAAAATGAATACTAATACTAAGGAATATAAAAAAAACTAAACTAAAGCCTAAAAGAAACTATTGCTAAAAAGAAAAAAATCTGCTAACCAGTCAAAAACTTCTAATTATACAGAATCACAATTTACTATTAAGTGTAAGAGTCTTGACAAGAAATTTAAAACTAAAATAAAATACACTATAACTCGTGTCAGAGGCTAAAAATTATATACAGATGACTAGAGGATGCCTGTATATCTCTTTTACTTTGCTTTATTCTTTCAATTAAATTTACATATTTATCTAAAAGTATAAGAATTTTGAAATCTCTATATGCTCTATCCAATGATCATGTATTTGTATGTCTTCAACAACACAACATGTAAAATATTCTTTTGAACACTTATCCAGTTATTAAATTCGTTGACACTATCTATTTTATTTGTGTTGTTTGTCATCATACAGAGTTTTCTGATATAGAAATAGTAAACATTGCTAATTTTTTGAAGGGGATATACTGAATTTTCTACTTTTTGTCAAAAATTATGGCCAAAAGTATCAAAGGGAAAAAATAATATATTTGCGAGAGCTCAAAACAATGAAAGTATTTTTAGTTGTTCTTTGTAAAACTAAAAAGCTTTAGACACTTAAGTTAGGAGTTTTTCACCACTACTGTTATCAAAATAATCCTTTTGGTTTGGATGCTGAATATGCAAAGAAGTCCACTAAGAATAAAAGCTTGACCCAAAGCACAAACTAACTATATCTATCTGCTCTTTGGTGTTTTATATATAAGTCTTTATCAACAACAGTACCAATAAGGAACCTCAGATATCTTTGAACTTTTTAGAGCCTTGAATCTTCAAACTGTTTTGGTGCAGTCTTGGTTTAAATGATCATTGAAAAGAGTTTCTGTTTTTTGATTTGACTGCTAATAAATTTGGAATTCAGCTAAAACAAATATAAGAATAGTATAGTAAAAAGTAAGAGTTTATGCTTGCATAATCTCATATTAGGCATTTAAATGACAGTTTATAGTCTGCTTATCTTGAACTAGAATTAGAACTTGCTATATTGGCCAAAAATTATATAATAATTAAAAACTGTTAGTTATTCTATAATACAAGCAAAAGTAGCCAGTTTAGCTAGTTTGTTACAATATACAAATCAGTTTTTTTATATTAGTTTATTTATATAAAGTAATAAATATGACATATTAAAATAAAAACTGATCAAAATGAAATTTTTTTAGTTTTTAAAAAAATTTTAAAATTTTTTAAAAAACATTTTTTGAGATTTTTTTCAGTATTAGAAATAGGGTTTAAAGTTAAAATTATTAATAAAAAAGTATATATAGATTTTATAAGTTTTAAAGATAAGTAAAAGCGATTACTAGTTTTATTTTAATTAAATTTTTATTTTA